AATATTTCAGGGTTTGTGTGACCGTGATTCTAATTAATGTTTTAATAAGCTTATTGTGTTCAATTCAATTCATTTCCGAAACTGTCATTGCTATCTTGAGTGTGCTATTGGGAGACATCTCTGATATCTCTGATGACGCAATTAGCATATGCCATTATATTGTTGTACATTTTTTTAATAAGATTGTGTTACGCATGCGTTTAGGTTCATTCGGAAGCCTCCACAAAACACGGGAAAATAAAGTATACAGAGAAATCCACAAATTGCGCTTTTGACATAAGCGTTTATTTTGGAGGGAAAACCGCTCGGCAATAATTGTCTCGTTCTTGGCAACTGATTAATGAAAAGTCGTTTAAGGTAAGAGGCAATTAAAGTAAAAAGGACAAAAAAATCTCAACAATTATTACAGTTCCACGTCGTAAAATAGAATTCTCTTTCATTCTTTTTATTTCAGGAAACCTTTTATGCGACGTCTGAAAAGAGTAAAATTGACCAACATGGCGGCCTTTTCTTCCTTCTCTGTTCGTATGGCTATAACTTTGCCGCCAAAATGACGTCACATCGAAAGAAATGAGTGCCTTTTACCTATGGCCCGTCCATATTTTCAGCAGAATCACAAAGCTGTATTGAAATACGCAATTTTTCTTCTTTGCTTGTACTCATAGTCATTAAATTGGGCTCTCTAACTATAGTGATGTGACCTTTTAATGAGGACAGGGCAATAAATCATAATACTGTATATTGCTACGTATTTTACGCTTAATTAATATGACAGTTACGAGTAGTGAGATTACTCTTATGCTTTCATTACTTATTGTAAAAAAGAGAAAAAAAAAATCCCGTCGATTAACTGAATAATCGTAACCTCGTTATCAACTTGGATGCGCATTCCGACACTTCCGGTATGAATTTTATTGCTCCGAATGAAATGTACATTGAACAATCACTTCTACCACAGTCCCTACCAAACAGAGCCATGCATGTTAATTCATAATAATATATATATTCAATGTAACCTAGGTGGCATTGCACAGTCAGTGTTGCCCTAAAAGAAGACTCTCAACAGAGTGTAAGTCTAGGCTCCATTCTACTTCTATCACCGTTCTATAGTGGTCTGAGATTCTACAAACGACTGTTTGCGCTTCCGTTCAGCAAACGGTGTTCTAGTTATCTATCGTGTAGAATCTAATTACTGATTATCGGCGTTAAGGCTTAACTCAGCACAAATTGCAAATGTTGCCGGGTTCAAATTACAAAGAGCATGCTATATTGTTTTACGGTAACCAAACACAGTTCCATTAAATGTAGGGACAAACAAAGTAACGTTCAATGAAAATCTCTCCATGAAGGCACTTTCAATATTTGTTCTTTTGTACACTATTAACCCGCTCACAGATAATGCTCATACAAGCACACATCAAAATGGAGTTTCAAAGGGACCAACAACATTCTGTCTGGCTTGTTAAATAAGTTAAATAAATAAGTTAGATTATAATGATCAAGCATTATCATTCACAATGAAGTTTCTTAAAACCAATATTTCAAAAGTTTCTAGTATTATTGCGTTGATTCAGCTTTAAATCTGGCGGGAATTTGGTAAAAAATTAACATGGAGCATGGGCGACAATTTTAGGTTGGTTGAATGTGTTATCCATGTCCCCACACTTGTATTCATGTGAGGATTGTGAACCACACACTTGTATTCATATGTAGACTGTAAACCTCACATTTGTATTCATATGTAGATTGTAAACCACACACTTGTATTCATATGTAGATTGTAAACCACACACTTGTATTCATATGAGGATTGTGAACCACACACTTGTATTCATATGTAGACTGTAAACCTCACACTTGTATTCATATGTAGATTGTAAACCACACACTTGTATTCATATGAGGATTGTGAACCACACACTTGTATTCATATGTAGACTGTAAACCTCACACTTGTATTCATATGTAGATTGTAAACCACACAATTGTATTCATATGAGGATTGTAAACCACATACTTGTATTCATATGTAGACTGTAAACCTC